TTTATCAGGAATAAAAACTGCACATATGAGATAACCATTATCTATAACATGATAAAGGGAGATAGTTAAAAAAAACTTGAATAAAATAAGTCCAAGTAACATAAACCAACAATTACAAGAATATAAAATGTTTTATCACAGAATTACAAAAATTTCAATAAATTCATGGGAAAAACTCATGCATTAGACAATTATTTTCTTAGTCTTGGATACATATTGGAACAAGTTTGAAGCATCTAACAAGTGTTATAAGTTTAAGGATATGGTAAATTAAGAAGTATCTGCAAGCATCCATCAAGTGTTTGCATATCAAAATATCACATATATCAGATAGGTCTTCCTTATGAAATATCAACAACACATGTTTCTACTCTACACTTCAAACCTTAAATCTGCCCTTTTTCCTTGCTTCAGAAATGCCCATATGACTATATCACATGAGGGATGACGAAAACTGTAAAGAGTGAAGGGTTCCTCATGAAGAAAGGAGAGGAAAGCTCCAGAATTAAGAGAAAAAAGAGCTTCCATGAAAAAAGAAAGAATAAAGGTTATTTATCGATTTATTCTTAAAGGTAATAAGACCGATAAAGTCACATGAAAATAGAAATAAAAATCAATGTCTCTATGAACCAAAACGATCTTAATTTGTTTGTTTCCATCTTCATAGTACGGCAACTGAGATAGAGAATCATGTGCTAATTCTAAGAGAAGAAGAGAGGATCCAAGCTCATGTGTGTAGTCAGTTAAGCAATGGGCAAATATCAATTTTCTTTTGTGAAATCGATCTATAAAATCTGAAAATATAATGCAAAATTAACTTCGATCTCACCGTGTGCAAAAAATATAGTACAAAAGATCAACCAGAGTGTCGCACCAAGCTGCTCCCTCCATGGGACATCAAAATCAGGATTCTGTTTATGTTCTAGGTACCAAACGGTTACGCAAGTATAGATGTAACTGGCAAGCACTAGCAACCAAACTTCTGGGCTGAATGGCTGGGTGAGAACCCATTTCTTGTTGTTGGGTTTCACCGGAACCACCATGGATAACCCTGTAGGGAGAAAAGGCTCTGTAAACATGGCTCTGTTCATGCGTTTACTGAGGATCGTGACATCACCAATCACTGCATCAAATTTCTTAAAAAAAGAAGATATTAACATGTCAGGATTTGTATTATCAACCCAAAGTTTGGCGCATCTAATTATCACTGCAGACTAATACCGCTTCAAATATGCTAGAAAATTTAGATGAAATTTTTTCCCCCCACCAGAAGCAGAGGCTGAGAGCATAAATGTGCTAGACAGTCAGTAGTTAAGCTCAATGTTGCTGAAAGCATCAAACTTTTGAGCCGAGAAATTGAAGTGTTTACCTCTGGAACACTGGCAACAAGTTCATCATAGGTCCCGTTGAAAGGAAAGAATTCATAAGGGAGCTCATAATTCAGCAGCTCCCTTGCCTCCTTGTAAACTTCCACACAAAATCCGTTCACCTCCTTAACCTCACCTTTACCGTCAAATTCCACGTTCACAAGCAATTCAGTCAACGACCTTGTCGGTACTCCAACCCTCAATTTACCCCACCCTCCCGGGATTTTCTCTGCTGCACCTCCCGGCCAATAAATTGTGCCAAACAAATTTATACTTGCAGCTTGTTCTGCTCCATCTCTATAGAAACCTCTACCTTTCAACCAGAACCCCATATCTCTACTGCTTTTCCCAACAACATTGATGACACGAAAAGCCAAAGTTCCCTTACCCTCAATTAAGCTCCCATCTCTTCTGAAGCGGACCCGGCCACTTAGCCCAACAAAATCAGACGACTGTATACCTTCAAGCAGAGACTTACCAGAAATGGCATAGGCTTTTGCAATTACGTGAACAGCATCATAAGCTAGCAAAGCATGCATCCCAGGCTTGACCTTAGTCTCCCCACTTTTACTATATTCTGACTGGAATTTCTGCTGGAACTTTTCACTAAAATCATTGTATGGTTTTCTAGACTCATTAATGTAGGTTTTAACTCCGATCACCCCTTGCATGTAGGAGGAAATGTCAGACGGGCTGAGTGTTGAGTCAAGGAGAGTAGTTATATCGTCGCCGGCAATCCATACATGACCTTTGGCCATCATTCCTAATGTTGTTGCCACTTTGAAGAGCTCACTAACAAGGGAAGAGGAGGACCATTGGACTACGATGAACACTTTGCACAGTCTCGAGTTCAACGTCTTCAGTTCTTGATGTATCACGTCTTCAGGGTTAGGCATCGAGTCTAGTGATGGAAAAGCTGCATGGTACGTGATCTGAGATCCAACGGATTGAAGGGCATCGTTTAACATTGGGACTATTCCTGATGAGGTGCTTCCATAGCCATCGTCTTCATAGAGAACAATGACTTGCCTCCAATTGAATAGTTTCACGAGATCGGCGAGGCATTGCACGTATGCCGAAGCTCTGTATGACATTCTGAACAAGTTTGCCCTGGGAACGACTGATAAAGGTTGAGAGGTGGTGAGGGAGAGTACAGGAAGGCCTGTTTTGGTTCCAGTTCTTGAAATTTCGAGAACTGCCCATGATTCTCCACTGATGATTGCATTGGCTTGCTCGTCACCATTTAGGAAAGCAGCTGCAAGTACAGATTAAAAGTTATACGTTTGTGCCATATGCCATAATAAGTCCATGTTTCTAATATTTTTGTTTGTGCATCCACAAGTAGAAAATGGATAGTATCAGCCGATGCTACCCGAGTACAACTTAATTTATTTGTTTATTTATTTATTTATTTGTATTAAAACTAATAATTTACATGAGGTCAATATTCTTTTTTCACCGGCGGTTGTGCATGGAAAAGAACAAAGAAGACTCTTTAATTGGCCGCTGAGGTTTGCATCCGGTTCAGTTTCTACGACGAAAAGCAGAGTCGAGAGAGTTGCAAGACATGTCAATTACCTCCCCTACTAGAGTTATTAATAGTCAGAACTATATCAGCGGAAGAGCTCAAGTCTTTGGCTGCGATCTCAATGGCGATCCCTTGCTCCCTACTAATGCGGGAGCCCCTTTGGGCAACTACTCCTATATGAACTGTGGCTGCTCCTCCTCGAAGGATAGTGGAGCAGAACAAGAGGAAGAGAAAAAACGCCAGGGGTTTAGACATAAGTGTAGGTTAAGGCTCAACAAGACAGGCTATGTTGGATTGAGGTAATGATTATTGGTCTATTTGTAGCCTCCAATTACAGTAATTAACTAACGGAGACGAAGTCTTATAGCAGTAAGTCCGAAGATAATATTTCTACAAGTCGATGAAAGCGAATGAGGAAAGTTGGAGGAAATGAGAAGTAGTACCCACGACATACGCGCGTGACGCTTCTAACAAGTTTGTATTCAACATATTTCCCAACGGCCTGCAGGCTATTACGCAAGTGAGAAGAGAAAATAACTCAACAGTTTACTATCACAGTATCATTTCACTGGAAGAGGACATACTAGGAGAGAAGAATCCGATAAACTATTAGCAGATAAAATGGAAACTAACTTTTTATTACCGCCTCAATGCAGTTTTTATTTCGTTCAGCTCGATCTCCGCCAACTCTTTTCATGTCAAGTTGAATAACACCATCTTTTTAATACATTACCCAGCAATTACTTGACCAAATATAATATACTCAAATAATTAATAAAAGCTTATCAGTGCTTGTCTAGAATCTAAGCGCATCATTTTTTAATGCTCTGCAGAAGAATGCCCTTACTGTTTGACAAGGACTTTAGGCTTCTTCCTGATTAAAAAAATCTTAGTCAATACAGCCAATGAACAAGAAAGAATCCTCCACAATTCGATGGTTAAAATATTCACAAAAACTCCGCTAAACTACAGCTTCAACTAGCGACCTATCTTCTCCGGTCGTATTTCATAGATACATCAGAAGTTGTGTAATTTGATTAAAGTATCAACTAAAATATTTATCAATGCCTGTCTAGACTACTCAACTACTTGTTAACCGAATATAAGACACTCGAATAACTTATTGAGACCTACCGATGGCTGTCCAAGTCTAAAATCTATGCGCATCCTTGTTAAAATATTCTACAGAGGAAAGTCAGATTACAGCTTCACAGTCACGTTCGGCCTTTGCTAATTGTTAAAATCTCAGATCGAAGTCAATGAACAAAAAGGAATCCTCAACTGTTGGGATGGTTAAATTTCTCCCTATCCTCTGCAAAGATGCAGCTTTAGCTTTAAGTAATATTGTATCTTGTCCTGTCCATTTTTTTGTGACATCAGCATTTGCATTATTGATTAAATTATCAAATAAAAGTAATTTCTTTAGGGCAAACTATCCTATGGAGAGCGACCGCATAAAATTGTATGGGAAGGGAGAGATAAGAACTAGAACGGTTCGCTGCAATATCAAAGGGAGAAAGATGCATGTTGATAATAATGTTAGCAGTGGGTTTTTAGTCCTACATTGATTGTGAGAACACACCTCACCCTCCTCTACTTGTATAAATATATGTGCACATTCAATATTCAACTTAAGCGAAATTTACCCAAGACTCTATCTCTCTTACTTTAACATGGTATTAGAGGTAGGTTATTTTTTTAACGCTTCTGCGTTCTTTTGCCAAATCTTGGCAAAACCGTTTAAACGCCTGTTTTGCGTTCCTTCACCAGATTTTTGGCATTGTCGCTTTGCGGCCTCTTAACGCGTTTCGCGTTCTCGTATTCAAGATCGTTTTTCGATCTTAAATTTATAGCATCACCATTTCAAGACCATCTCTTGGTCTCAAATTAATGGCATCACCGTTTCAAACCGTCTCTCGGCCTCAAACAAACGGCATTACTGTTTCACAGTCAGTTACGGCATCGCCGTTTCAATCCATCTCGACGTCTCAACGTCTCAACATCGGCATTAATCCGTTGTAGGTCTCCGGCATGAGCATCAGATCCAGCCGATCTTCGGGCCACCTTGGTCGTCGGTTGCTTCTTTTTTCTCAGATTTGACAGTCATTTTAACCTTTGGGTTTCTACATTAACCTTCGGGTTCTCCTTTAAACATTTGGGTTTCGTTCAAGGATTATTATCTTGAACTTTGAATTGCTGCTATTATGGCCTCTTCACTGGCACCTGCTTCTCAGGCTCGGTCTAAGCTCTTTTGCACCTATTGCAAGGAGGAGGAACATCGCTTTAAGACATGTTTTCAGCTTCATCATGAGTTAAGTTCCTCAAGAATTGACCGTAGTCAGTAATCCCCTCAGTCTCGATCCTCTAGTACACTAGGATTACCGATCAATGTTATGTCATCTACCACTTTTGACCCTACCATTCAAGCTATTGCAGATATTAGCGGTCAAATTACGATTCTTCAGCATAGCACCTCTCCATCTACTGCAAAACTCTTTGATATTCGCCGTCAAATTGAGGCTCTTCAAGCTATTGCAAATATTAGCCGTCAAATACCAACTCTTCAGCATACCACATCTCCATCTACTGCACAACTCTCTGACATTGGCCATCAAATTGATGCTCTTCGGCATAGAGCCTCTACATCTACTGCACAACTCTCTGGTATGCGTCTTGCTGGTTCTTCAGCCAACCCTTCGATCTCTGGTATGAATGATCTCTGGGTTTTTTACTCTGGATGTTCCTTTCATATGACTCGTAATGCCTCCCTCTTATCTTCTGTCTTCACTTCCTCATCTCTTCACCTATCTACACGACTGTTGGACAACCTTTGTTTATCACTCAATATGGCTCTATCACCCCACAAACTGATCCATCTGGTCATCTAACTCTTGGCCCCGTCTATGTGGCTCATCAGTTGTGTTAGAATTTAATTTATGTTAGCTCCTTCTTTATTTGATTTGGTCCATTCTGATATCTGGGTGCTAGCTTCTCTGTCTTCTTCACCTGCCTACTTATATTATGTTAATTTTATCGATGATTTCTCTCGTTATACATGAGTCTACCTACTTAAAAATCGCTCTGACGTATGTTTGTGGGAAAATTAAAGAAGACAATTGAGAATCGAATTTTTGTGTTATTCCTTCTGACAAACTCAGAAAAAGAATTAATTACAATTCTCTCGGTACAATTTCTCTTTAATAAACTTAGCAAAAGAAATTACACTTCTTATATCGAATTCCCGATTTACAAAAGAGAAGAAGATCGACGGAGATCCTCCCCTTTGTTTAAAACTGGTTTCTTCACGGTAGCGATGAGATGCCTCCCTCGTTGTTAGTGTCGAGTTTGTTTCTCATTGACGATCCAATGTTTCACCTCGTTGGATTGAAGTTAATAAAACTTGTGTGGCATGTTTAAGAATAACTCTTAACGAGTTTAAAAACTTCGTGCGAGTTTAAACTCTGTAACAGAGTTGATCTGAACCGAAATTCAGTTAATAAGCCAAGTATCAAAGCTTCTTGATCTCGGTTGCTGAATAACACTTCAAGCTCTTTGTTGATCTCTAGATCCGAAAATGCTCAAAAGATCTAAAGATCGCCAAGATCTGATCTGCCAAATAGATCTCTTCTTGTCCTCAAAAAGCCAGACCTTAACTTAGTTGAATTTTTCAAGATTTATAAGGGATTAAGGGGTGTAACTCCCCCCTTAATCTGCTCTTAAGTGGGGGAGTGATCCCCTCAAATCATGAAAAACGGTTTTAAAACCGTTCAACTCATATTTGAACGAGTCAAACGTAAAATCCGCGTTCTGGCATGAATTATGTACTTGAACGCAGCGTCTAGAAGCTCGGACGTAGCATCTGGAAGCTGTATTTGTAGCGGTTTGGAAGCTGTGTTGGCAGCTTGGAAGCTGTGTTTGCAGCTTAGAAGCTGCATTTGTCAATGCTTGAAAGCTGCGTTAGTAGCTGAATCTGAGTTGCGTTTACGACCAGGTTTGAGCTGTGTTTGTATTGCTTTAACTCTGAAACGAGGCCACTTGCATTTTAATTTGAAGCGGCCGTCAATTTGTAGTCTCTTTTTGCTAGAGCGTTACAAAGATCATCATCTTGTAACCTTCGTCTTGGTTCCTTAAAAATATATGGGTCATCAGATTGTAACTCCCGATGTTGATTGGGAAGACCATTGAATTAGAGCTTTCATTGGTTGTTGTGAAGGTTATCAGATTTTAACCTTCATCGATCTACGTAAAAGTTTTTAATTGTAGCATTTATTTGTTGATATGAAAGTCATTTGACTATAACCTTCATTGTCATGTTGCTGATGCAGAGGTAAACAGATTGTAACTTTCATCCTTAGTGTTTAATGAGAATCAGCTATCTGCAGTAATTTTTTAGACAGCCTACAACGTACCTACTGCTTATCAAGCCTTCACTGTGATGATCTTTACTCAATGGCAAGCTCGTATTACAGTTTTTCATTCTGATTGTATCAAAGAGTACCTATCCTCTACCATGCCCTCTATCATGTCCTCTCATGGGACTATCTTTCAACAGTCATGTCCCTACACTCATGAGAAAAATGGTATTGTTGAACGTAAACATCGTCATATTCTCGATACTGCTCGATCCATGCTCATTTATTACTCTGTTCCTCATCGTTTCTGGGTTGAGGTCATTCTCACTGCTACTCATGCCATTAATATCACTCCATCTAGCTCTTTTTCCGATGCTACTCCTCATAGTCGTGTTTATACTCATCCTCCCCGTTATGATCTGGTCCGCGTTTTTGGTTGTCGTGTTTTGTTCTTCTGTCGTCTCACAAACATGATAAATTATCTCCTAGAATTGTTCTTTGTATCTATTTAGAAATTAGTTCAGAACATCGAGGTTATCGTTGTTATGATCCTGCATCTCGTCGAGTTCATATATCTTGACACGTTCAGCTCGAAGAGGATTCTCCATTTTATTCTGGTTCTGATGATTTCAATTACCTCTACACTACTGATCGTGCTTCTCCTTTCGAGATCTCCCTGAAAATTTTCCATCTCCTTCTGTTGACTCTCTCTCACTCGAGCCTTCTCTTCCACCATCTGATCCCTATCCCGTAGACACGACACCCACTCTAAAAAATACTGTTGACCTTCATGCACCTGTGCCAGCATCTCCCCATCTGAGGTTCCTCTTGCTCTTCGTCAAGACAAATGTCCATATGTCATGCATGCACGGTATGCTTCGGTTACTTCCTATTCATCTATCTTTCATAATTTTATTCCTGTCATTCATACTACAGTTGAGCCAAAGTCCTTTCAAGAGGCCGTTCAATTTTTAGAGTGGCGACAAGCTATAACTGACGAATTTCAGGCCTTTCAGCAAACACATATCTGGGATGTTGTTTCTTGTCCCGTTGGCATCTCTTTAGTTGGTAGTAAATGGGTTTATAAGGTCAAGTATCATCCTGATGGCACAATTGAACGTCAGAAAGTTCGTTTAATGGCTCGAGGTTTTACTCAGCAATAAGGTATTGATTATAAGGAGACATTTGCTTCTGTTATTCAGATGCCCACCGTTCGTACTCTTCTTGCGGATGTTGCTGCTCATCGTTGGCCCTTATACCAGATGGATGTCAAAAATACTTTTCTCCTTGGCTCTTTATCTGAGATAGTATATATACAACTGCCTCCCGGGTCTAATATTCCTTCGGGACATGTATGTCTCCTTCGTCGTGGTGTTTATGATCTCAAGCAAGCACCCGCGCTTGATTTGAGTGTTTTCGCGATGTCGTGCTCAAGGCAGAATTTATAAAAAATCATCAAGATGCTTCTCTGTTTGTTCGCACTACATCGTGTGGCAGAGTTTTATTACTCATTTATGTAGATGATATGATTATTACATGTGATGATGTGGCTGGTATACAGTACGCAAAACCTCAGTTGCCATAATAGTTCCACGTGAAGGATCTTAGATCTTTTTGGTATTTTCTTAATCTAGAAATTTCTCAAGGCCCACGGGATGTACTATTGTCTCAACAGAAGAATCTCTCGGATATTCTATATCGAGCTGAGCTAACTAATGATGCAACTGTTGATATTCCACTTCAACAGAATGTCAAACTTCGCTCTACTGATGGTGAGTCTTTATTTGATCTTACTCAATATCGACATCTTGTTGGCCAATTGGTCTATCCATGCATCTCTCGACCATATATCTCTCATGTTGTTGACATTGTTAGTCAATTTGTTAGTGTCCCACGTTCTGTACACTATGTTGTCTTATTACGGATTCTTTAGTATCTCCGGGGTACTAGCACTCGCCCTCTTCTGTTTCCTGCTACATCCAAGTTAGATCTTTGTGCATATTCTAATGCTGATTGGGCTGGTGATCCTAATACCAAGAAGTCTACCACATGTTATTGTATATTTCTTGGTGATTCCCTAATTTCCTGGCGGAGTAAGAAACAAGATGTTGCTGCTCTTTCCAGCACCGAGGCAGAGTATCGTGCTATGTCCCTAACAGCTAAATAGATTATTCATCTTCGTCGTCTTCTTACTGATTTTAAGTATTTCTGTTTCGACTCCTACTCCTCTATACTGTGATAATAAAAGTATCATCCAGATTGCTAATAATCCAGTATTTTATGAGAAGACCAAATACATTGAGATCGACGCTCATTTTGTTCGTCAACAAGTTATTAAGGATAAGACAATTCTACTTTCTCATGTGTCATCCATCGACGAGCTTGCAGATTTCTTCACAAATGCATTACCTGTTCATCGGTTCCAGTTTCTTGTACACAAACTCACTTTGTTTGATCCAACATGAGTTTGAGGGGGGCTGTTGATAATAGTGTTGATAATAGTATTAGTAGTGGTTTTTTAGTCTCACATTGGTTGTGAGAACACATCTAACCCTCCTCTACTTGTATAAATATATGTGCACACTTAATATTCAACTTAAGAAAAATTTACCCAAGACTCTCTCTCTTTCTTTAACAATGCCAATTGGGTGGTTGGATCATTTGCTACAAGTCAAGGGTATCAGAAGGCCTCTGGCGTGTAAGGTGTTATGACAGTATACGTACGTACTTCAACATAGGATTTTCTTCGTCTTTCCATTTTATCGTAATTATGAGTATGTTATGATATATCTCAAGGTCAAAGACATCATAGCGGACATAATTTAATGACAGGTTGGAGTATATATTATAAAAGGTCATGTATAAGAATTTAGGATTACAAATTACTTTAGGTTGGCATTCGTTTTGTTGGCATTTCTAAATTCAAATCCTCAATAATTATTTAGTGGACCAATTCTTCTACTCACCCTATTGTATCTTTGATCAAGTGGATACATTCTACAAACTCAGGGGACGGTGGGCTATGAATTGAATATCCCATGACTAGATTGATCTAGGTTTAGTGTCGGAGGCAAATACATTATTTCATCTACGTAGAAAAAGTTATTTTAATGTTGACTTCATTTTATTTCAAAGTCAAAAGCAATTTTATTACATAACAATATATTCTTTCGTACAAGACAAGCAGACTTTATCTGGTTTAATGTGAGAAAATTTCCATAAATCTGTCAAGGTCAAGTCAAGGCAATATTTGTGTATGAGAATAGACCAAAACTTTGGCGTAAATGGATCGTTAAGTGATGCATGCGCATCATGAACACGCAATGCTCAATTAGAGTTATGAAGAGTGTTGTTATTTTGTTTGGCCCAAGCTTTGGCCCGTTTCCAAATAGCCCAGTTCCCCAAGATATTTGCCCCAAACCCAAACTCTCTCCCTAGCCGATGAAAACAAAAACCCTAGGACAGCCGCCCCTATCTTTGTGCTGCCGCTGCTTGGAGTCTCATCCTTCGATGCCCTAGCCTATCTGTAGGTCGGCTTCCTTGCGTTTTCTTCCCTAGCCCATCTCTTCCTGTCGGATGAACCCATGATAAAGAGAGAGAGAGTTGAGGGAGAAGAACGAGGAGTGAAAAGAAAAAGTCTGTGTGACTGAGAACAAAAGAAGACCAGAGAGAGCTTTGTGCTCTGTAGCTTTGTGCGATCCTCTCCCTTACCCGAGCTCTATGCTCTCACCCCCTTTGTGCGATCCCCTTTCATCTTTGTGAGTGACGGGTAGAGAATATCAGTGAGCTTCCCTTTGGCTTCTTGGTGGTGCACTGTGAGTGAAGAACAGGACTGGTTGAGCAGGCTTCTCAGCCAAACCGGAAACGACAACGAAGATCCCCAACAGTGGTATCAGAGCTTGGTGGAGAGACGCCGGACCGCCGGTTGGACCGCCACAAGGGTGTGGTAAGGTCGAGACCCTCTCCTAGGGTTTCGCTCTGGTATATCATCGGAAATCCCAACTGTTACCTTTTTTCCCCCCTTCGAAATCTGTTTTCGCTCAGGAGAATTGACAAAAAAAAAACTCTTGCCTGTGTTTTCTGTCCGCTGCAGTTAAGCTCTGACCTTGTTGAAAATTTACAGTAAAAATTCTGTATTTTCCCGGCTATAGTTGCATTTTTATTTTTTCTTAGAAAGTAGTTTCTGTTATTGTTTGTGCTCGTGTGAAAGACCAAAGAGAGTGAAACAAGAACTCTGTGTTCATCGTTCTTCTCATTTGTTCGTGCTAGTTGCTTCACACGTTTTGAGCCGGATAATTACCGAAATCAGATTTGTTCATTTTTTTAGTTCTGTTTGTTTTTTCTGTGTGAAAAATGTCTGCTGCTAATCAATATAGTATGATCCAATATGGTATGGCTCCGTTCAACGGAAAATCTGATTTTAACATTTGGAAACAAAAAATAAAATGCATCTTAATTCAACAAAAATCTGTTAGGGCTGTTGGTCAGACTTATTTAACTTCTGACACTGAAAATAAACGGGCGGAAATGAACGAAAATGCTTGTTCCACAATTTATTTGAACTTATCTGACTCTGTGATTAGAAAAGTTGGAATTTTGGACTGTGCTAAAACTCTTTGGGATAAACTTGAAGAACTCTATACTGAAACCTCTTTGCCCAGTAAAATGTTTTTGCTTGAAAATTTTTTCAAATTTAGATTGGATATGTCTAAGGATATTGAGGAGAACCTAGATGTTTTCACAAAACTTATTTCAGATATTAAGTTAACTGGTGATAAACATATAGACGACTATACTCCTATTGCCCTTCTAAATGCTATTCCTGACTCATATAGTGATGTGAAATCTGCTATTAAGTATGGTAGAGATGAGGTTACCCTTGACATTGTGGTCAATGGTCTTAAGAGTAAGGAATTAGATTTAAAACATTCTGGGGAAAATAAAAATTCTGATGAGGTTTTGCATGTGAGGGGTAGGCCTCAGAATAGGTCTAATAACCAAAATAATGCTAGTAATGGGGAATCAAGTAGGAAACAATTCGAAAATGGAATGGGTAGATCTAAAGTTAGAAAATGTTATAACTGTCATGAAAACGGTCACTTTATTAGAGATTGTCCTAAACCTAGGAAAAATCAACAAAATGATCAGACTAATATGGCTGTCTATGAGGACGAAATAGGTGAAATTTTCATGATTTATAATCTGTGTGATTATGCATATCTGAACTCTGTGTTATCTGATTCTTTGTGTCAATCAGATTGGTTGGTAGACTCTGGTTGTACTTTTCATATGACTCCATTTAAAAATATGTTTTCAAACTACAAGAAAATAGAGAATGGCTTTGTGTCAATGGCAAATGAAAAGAAATGTAATGTTTTAGGAACTGGTGATGTATGCCTTAGGTTTTCTTCTGGTTCTGTGTTTACTTTGAAGGATGTTAGGCATGTTCCTGATTTATGTTATAACTTGATTTCTTGTGCATCTCTAGAAAATGATGGTTTGAAGGGAAAATGGGGTAAAGGGGTTATGAAAATTCTAAAAGGGTCTCTTGTTATGTTTTCTGCTGAAAAACAAAATAACTTGTATGTTTGTCATGCTGAACCTGTGCTTGATTCTGTTAACTCTGTGATAAGAAGAGATGTTGTTTATGAATTTCCTTGTTTACCTTTACCTGTCCCTATTTCTGAAAATGATGCTCCAAATGAGGTGGAGCAAATGCCTATTATTAATCAACATGAATCACATCCTGATGAAATAATTATTGAAAATCAAGATGATGTTATTCCTAATGAGGTGGAGCATGACATGCATGAGATAGATAGCATGCATGATTTGAATGATTTTTTCCTTTGAACTCGATGACCGTTTGGTAGAGTTCGGTCCTTTGTGGACTCAGTATGCTTTGTGTGTTGCCTTTGTGGCCTATTAATCTGCTTTGTGCTTTTGCTTTGTGCTTGGGTAATTTTCTCCATTTGCTTTGTATGTTGCCTTTATGGCCTATTAACTTGCTTTGTGCTTGTTAGTAGCTTTGTGAATTTTTCCCTTTGAACTCGATGACCGTTTGGTAGAGTTCGGTCCTTTGTGGACTTGGCATGCTTTGTGTGTTGCCTTTGTGGCCTATTAACTTGCTTTGTGCTTGGATAATTTTTTCCTTTTGCTTTGTGTGTTGCCTTTGTGGCCTATTAACCTGCTTTGTGTTTTTTGCTTTGTGCTTGGGTAATTTTCTCCCTTTGCTTTGTGGCCTATTAACTTGCTTTGTGCTTGTTAGTAGCTTTGTGATTTTTCCCTTTGAACTCGATGACCGTTTGGTAGAGTTCGGTCCTTTGTGGACTTGGTATGCTTGGTGATCTTACCCCGATCTTTGTGATCTGAGTTTACTTTGTGTATTCTCTTCCATTGCTTGTATCTTCTTTGTGATCATACAAGTAATAATTTGGCGATGATGAGTCCTGCAGTTTCGTGTTTTTGCTCTGTGCACTACCTTGGGCCAAAGGTGGAGATTGTTGTTATTTTGTTTGGCCCAAGCTTTGGCCCGTTTCCAAATAGCCCAGTTCCCCAAGATATTTGCCCCAAAATCCAAACTCTCTCCCTAGCCGATGAAAACAAAAACCCTAGGACAGCCGCCCCTATCTTTGTGCTGCCGCTGCTTGGAGTCCCATCCTTCGATGCCCTAGCCTATCTGTAGGTCGGCTTCCTTGCGTTTTCTTCCCTAGCCCATCTCTTCCTGTCGGATGAACCCATGATAAATAGAGAGAGAGTTGAGGGAGAAGAACGAGGAGTGAAAAGAAAAAGTCTGTGTGACTGAGAACAAAAGAAGACCAGAGAGAGCTTTGTGCTCTGTAGCTTTGTGCGATCCTCTCCCTTACCCGAGCTCTATGCTCTCACCCCCTTTGTGCGATCCCCTTTCATCTTTGTGAGTGACGGGTAGAGAATATCAGTGAGCTTCCCTTTGGCTTCTTGGTGGTGCACTGTGAGTGAAGAACAGGACTGGTTGAGTAGGCTTCTCAGCCAAACCGGAAACGACAACGAAGATCCCCAACAAAGAGGATGCAATTAAATCATCAGCATGTAATTAATATGGTTAGATAAACTTCAGCTTAATTTAAATATTATTTCATATTTTTCATTTTAGTCATTTCTTGGCATCATCTGTTTGCCAATTGAATT